ATTTAATTAATGAAAATAACAATATACTTTTGTGTGTAGAGGGTTCGAGCTTAAAGTAAAAACTTTACCACTACAAAGGTCCACAGAGCGTAATCGTTCATATAATAATAATAATAATAATAATAAAATAATAATAATAATAATAATAATAATAATAATAGTATAATAATAATAATAATAATGATAATATTAATAATAATATTAATATTGATAATGATAATAATAATAATAAACAAACATAAAACATACGTATATTTACTTTTATATAACATTATTATAACCTCTTGGTGTTATTTTTAAAATTAAAAATCCACAGGGTTTTAACAGTTCGAAAAATGTCAACATCTCGAAAAACAATATCAAGAGAAATATGTAAGAAATCAAATCATGCATTTCCATAAAAATCATATTCAAACACGGGTCATTCAATAAAAAAACACTTTTAACACAAAAATCGGAAGAACTAAAAAGACAATGGGGAAAAATATCAGGAGAATTGAAAACAGTGAATGCAATTAATTTTTGCCAAATATTGCCACATCTCTTCTATATCTTGAAAGCTATGGAAATAAAATCGTTCACGCGTGTTTAGAACTAATATGGACTGCTATATGTTTGCCGTGAAGCAACTTTGTTTATCAGATTAATAAATGTATTTATAAATATCTATAACAAAGGTACACGTCTACACGTAATGTGAATTGACGCTAGCTCTAATGAACTCAATAATTTTATTGTTTTAGAAAAATTTAGATTTAGTTCTAAGTGACTTGTTGCGTATTCTAAGTTGTGATGTAGTATTCTCGAGAACAAATGTATCTAATGTGTTCCCATGTTATTAATGACGTCATGAGCCCATCCATCAACTGAACTCAATTCACATTTCACATAATTCCAACTGTCGTCTGCAAATCGAAGAATATTTTCATCATCGCTATGAAGGTTAATAATAGATTTAAAAAATCGCTTAAAAATTGCAAGAAAAGACAACGCGATGTTTATTAGAAAAAGAATGCCTTTATCTTGTCAGGGATTTTTGTTTCATGTTTAGTGTAGTTAAATATTTGTTTAAGATATGTGATATTTGATATGATGAATATGGTATCGAATTGTAAAAAAATGTCTGTTTTGTTTCCTTCTCACCGGAAGTAGTATCTACGACATGCACTTGGAAAATGGATTAAGCCAAATTTTAAGGAACGTTCTTTCGTTAAATCTTTAGTTTGTTCTTAAAATATATACAGGTGAAAAACACTCGACAACTTAGTATATACCTGAATACCGCACAGACATTTGGGGTTTGGAGCTCAAAACGCCTTTAAAATCCAAATAAAATGCATATTTGTCAATCCCAGCACATGTACTGATCATATATATCAAAAAAACTTAATAAAAGCCGTTTTGAAAAAATTTCATATTTCAACATCTATAATAATACACAAGATAAAAATGTTCGCCGGAAAAAATCCGCACCCCTACCGTCATAATCACCATGTATTTTATTCCATTTCCAATATTTTCACATAATCCTTTGGTCCATCGACACAGAAGATATAATTCTTCACGATAATGGTCAATTTTAAACTTCAACGGTAATATAAACAACGCAACAGCCGAAATAAACATCAATATTATCGCCGTTTTTTTCCAACGACAAAATCTTTCGATAAATTCAATGGACCAGACGGCTATGAACGAAGCTATCCGATTATGTGGTTCCCAAACTTAAAAGCGCTGCGCATTTTGCACACGGCAAAGCTGGGGCCACATAATCGGATAGCTTCGTTCATAGCCGTCTGGTCCATTGAATTTATCGAAAGATTTTGTCGTTGGAAAAAAACGGCGATAATATTGATGTTTATTTCGGCTGTTGCGTTGTTTATATTACCGTTGAAGTTTAAAATTGACCATTATCGTGAAGAATTATATCTTCTGTGTCGATGGACCAAAGGATTATGTGAAAATATTGGAAATGGAATAAAATACATGGTGAATATGACGGTAGGGGTGCGGATTTTTTCCGGCGAACATTTTTATCTTGTGTATTATTATAGATGTTGAAATATGAAATTTTTTCAAAACGGCTTTTATTAGGTTTTTTTGATATATATGATCAGTACATGTGCTGGGATTGACAAATATGCATTTTATTTGGATTTTAAAGGCGTTTTGAGCTCCAAACCCCAAATGTCTGTGGAATACCGGGGAGTTTTTTCTTCGATGTGGTTAAGGAATGTTACTATGAGCAACCAACTTGCAAGTACTATTTCCGATATGAAGTAGTATCTGACCAATTCCCACAATCCAAATCAGCAAGTTAAAATGTAAAGACAACTAATCGAACAAATCAAAGAAGCTATAGATAACGTACATCCGGTCACATGGTTACTGAACATGGGTTCCAATGGGTTCAAATGACACATAGGTAAACAAACCAGCAAAAACTCAGTCCAAAAAGGTAAGCAAGGCTATTTCCGTTTTCTTACCGTTCCCATACCAGGTAAAACATTTCGTATTTTCGATATTTGATGTGTGTTTAATGATGATTTTTGTGTAGTATTTTCCATGGATAATATGGCGTCAGAACGACTGAATGTAGCACTGTTCCAAACACGTCATTTATAGTAGTTTCATATTTTGAAAACAATCATGATCCAGTACAAACACAGCATTCAAAATTTCCCCTGTTAATACCAAAATACCAGTAAATCGCAAATAAATGCGCAACGAACTTGATAAGACTATTTAAATCGTGAATTCAGGAAGTTAACTCGAAAATTCAGGAAGTTGAAATGTCATCACCTGTCTTTCCATCCTCGGTAACCTAAGCTATTTACCGTATACCAGTATGTAGTATATACGGAACGTGTACCGTGGGCCAGACGTTGTTGTCTTTTGTACTTAACAAAGTTTTTAAACTGCCAACATATATGTTTTATGCAAAAGAAAAAAAGAAGACAAAACTTTTAATGACATCAGATGTGACGAGTCTAAACCATATTACGTATATGTTTTACCTTGCCGTTGAATACACTTTAAGATATAATTTAAAAAATGATATCTAATCATATACCTTTACACATCATTGACAATTGCTTTGTGCATATTGTCTCAGCATTGCAATTAATGCGCATCAGGGACTTCTTTGCATTGCATTATTTTACATGGTTAAATAGAAATCTGATTCTGGGATTTGTGTAGAATTTGATGAAGGTTTTGGCCTATCACTTGTGTGCAAATTCGCAGATCATTCCCTTGCCCGATTGTTCCAGAATCATGATTTGTATTGTGCAAAATTGTGTCAAGCGTAAGTTTATAGTTTATAATTTGATGGAAAGTATTCATTTGCACTGTGCTTGAAGCAGTAAAATCACCAATGGCAATTTTGAAGCGATGTTTTTATAGTATACCCATTCACATCAAAGCAACCTTAAATCTCTTCCATTCCAGAAACAACAGCCGTTTTCTAATAAATATTCTGATCTTAAAAGTTTCTTTTTCAACAACACTATTTAGTGTCCACAAGTCAAAAAAAATGTTTGTTATTTTTTTTATGACATTTCATGTCTCTAAAATGCCCCCTAAACACAGAACAAGGTATCGCATGTGCCATTCTGAAGGAAGTTATAAGCTTATAGAATAACTCTTGAAGATGTTCCCAGAAGCAGCCAGTACTTTACAAGAAGTGGAAAGTTTCTTTTGCAGGGATTACAACAGTTTGCCACTAACGCAGCCAGTACGCCTAAGATAACTTACACGACCTATCAACAATTCAGCCAATCATCACCCTTTCCATGAAGTGTTTTGATGGTTTCAAAGCCTAGCATATTTAAGTGTAATTATGCTCATCCGAGTGGTAATATCGATAGTATAGTTAAAACTCAAAATCAGTTTACATTTTGCCGTATTTGTTTCTAATTTTTTCTTTTAATGAATATTCATTAACCCACGTGACGCACGGAAATTTCTATAAATATTCTTTAGAATGCATTGCCTATGCTCAGTTTATAATAAGACTGGGGCAATCTTTTTATATTTTTGCCAGTTTTAAATTAAGAACCGTTAGCTCATACGACTTTTCTACCCTTTATACAACACGACCATATACATTAATCCATAATAAACTAATTCCCATAATTCAAAAGAAAAAAGTTTCCATTCTTGCACAAAATTCTCAAAAGTCTTTCTTTATAAACTGCATTGTAAAACATTATACTAAATCGACCTGTGACCAATATCGACCTTTGTAAAGCACTCTCTTTAAGATTACATTTATTCAGGTTTGGTAGTAATACATTCAAACAAATTTAAGAATTTCATTTTGTATTTCTTTATGTTGAGTCTATCTCCAAACAACACGTTGTTATTGTAGCTATGTACTTCTCGATACCTTGATGATGATTAAATTTGGATAATATTTACTTTGATCAAATCATGAAATGGTATCTAATATCTATCATATAGAACTGAAAATGAATAAAACGAATTCTTAAAATTTTAATGCATCAATTTTGGATGATCACACGAAAATCTATGAATAGAGAGATGACTTTCATAAGTGTAAGCTACCGTCCACACCCTTAGCATTGGCTTCAGCAGAATTGCTAACATATAAACTTCAGATTTTGAAATTATTATTTAGATATATTCCTACAGCAGTAATCAAGGAACTTTTAATGAGATACATCAGTCCCATTTAATGAAAAGCGCAGAATGTTTCCTAAAAAAAAAAAAGATTGTGTGTACTCTAAAGGCGAAAACAGCACTAAATAAAATGGATTTGTAAAAGTGATCAGACGTTAAGAAGCATGCATATCACAGACAGATGTCAAAACAAATTAAATAGCAGGCAACATTTCATGGGGTGATTTAATTTATGGTTATATTTAAATCAAATGACTTTTCATATATCATATGCAGAACCTATCACTGTTGACCTAGAAAGATACGTTTATCTCCCACTGACGAGATATGTTTCATGTTCAAGCTAAACTTTGTTAACAGTTGCACACAAACACAACGAACATAAAGCACGTCTGGTGCTTCGCTTCAAGTTAAGTGTGCGAAATCAGTTGCCTAAGTCAAGAGATGCGATGTTTTCTTATATTATCAAATATTTTTCATACTAAAAACTGCAGCTGCCAGCGGCTTTGTAATAATTAAGATCATCTTGAACGGTTTTTTAATTTTGAAACAATTCACTAATAAGTTGTGAAAAAGTGCAATATGATGGACAATATAATATCTTTGTGTAGAATTGTTTTCACTTTAATTAGCATCGTATATGTGTCGGAAATGTCGCGTTTACCAACAAGTGGGAAGCCTACTTTCTATACAGCAGCTGTGTATGAGAACGCAGTTGTATTTCCAGAAAAGAGAGCAAGTTCATACGATGAAGCAGTTTCACAAATGTTTCCGAATCTTGACGAATATAAAAGACAGGCAGATATAGCAGGGACACTCGTATGTATTTTAGTATACTGACAGGCATTTGTACATGATACATTATATTAACTAATTATTTTAAAGCATATAGACGATCTACCAATAAGCTCTATTTATTCTAAATCAGATAGTGATATGAATTCGCAAGAATTATTTTAAAGCTTACCGATGATCAAAAGATAAGCACTCATTATTTTATACCAGTTGAGTTAACAATTAGCGGTGTCCTTTCTTTTCTACCTCCAATTGTTATTGTTTGTGTCAAGATGAAATATCAGATTTTATTAGGTTTATAAATTCTTTTTTCACTAAGAAATGTAGCTAAAATTCCTTAAAAGTGTCTGACTGAATTGTTCATTGACTCCTATTATGCCCACGTGGCTTATCAAAATAGAAGCGACATGAAAATAAGTTTGATAGTATTTAGGAACTTAAAGATTTAAAACCTTTGGAATAAATTTAAGAAAAACGAAACAAAAAATAATTTAAATTATTTTTTCGCAAGCAACACCGGAATGTTATGAGATGAATTAAAAATAATGGCCGCAAAATATATTTAGATTCAATTTAATTATATTGAAAGATTTGAGTTACTTTATTTTTCAATTGATTCCAATTAACGCTAGTTGTATATTTTGTAATTTTTGTCTTTTATGATGTTTATGAGTCCGAGTTCATAGAGCGGACACTTCTGCGTAAATGAATAGTAGGTACGGTTAAAGGATATATGTTTTGTGTATGTTTTCTCATACTTTGCAAAAGAAGCAAAATAATATTAAAAACCGGCGCCACAGAAAGGGCATTAACACGCGTTTGTGAAAATTGTCATCCATTTAAAATATATATATATATATATTTTTTTTTTGTGGGGGGAAGGGGTCATGCACATATCCACATTAAATAGATAAATAAAAAAAATTCCGTCTAAGTATGTGCCGTTCCCCTATGGTGCAGTGTTGCAGCTATATACGATTTCACACATAATTCATCCGAGTGATGTTTTATTTTTCCGATTTCGAGGTAGTTGATTTCAATACTAAATTATGTTGCAGAATGAATGTCAGCCATGCCAATCCTGGGAACATTTCACATTCTATAGTCTCTTATGGGAATTCTCAATAAAACCGTTTCTTATTGTCCAGAGGTACCACTCCAAAATTATTGGAAACTGTGCATTGTTTAAAATTTTTATGAAAGCTTGGTTTTATTTTGAATTTAATGGCATTTAAAGTTATAAGTTAACCATTTTATAATTGAAACAAACTAATTGTTATTTAAAACAGATAATTTGATACAATTCAGGAAGATAACGTCATTATGTATGTTACATAGTCATAGCAATGATGCAGCGTTGTGTTGTATAAAATAAAAAATGATTTCTTTCTTCATCTAAATAGTTACTTATTATCTCTATTTCTAGGGCGCTGATATTATCGTATTTCCGGAAGATGGAATTTATGGATATCTATTTGCAACACCTTCCGACATTGAAAACTATCTGGAGTACATTCCAGACCCTGCCCAAGTGGACTGGACGCCATGTACTGAACCTTTGAGGTACGAAAGAACAAAGATACAAACTTTTCTAAGCTGTCTCGCAAAGAATAACTCGATGTACCTTGTTGCTAATTATGGCGATAAGCAACCATGCCATGATACCGACCCTAATTGCCCTAAGAATGGACACTATCAGTACAATACCAACATAGTTTTTGACAGGAATGGAAAACTCATAGCAAGATATCACAAGCAGAACTTGTTCTTTGAGTCACAATTCAATACACCTGCTTCTCCAGAATTCATTTACTTTGACACTGAATTTGGACGCTTTGGAACTTTTACCTGTTTCGATATTTTGTTTCATGATCCAGCTATCCCTTTGATTGAAAAATACAACGTAACGGATATAGTGTTTCCAACTGCATGGATGGACGCGCTGCCTTTTCTATCCGCCATTGGTTATCACTCTTCATTTGCTGTTGCATATAATGTTAATTTTCTGTCAGCGAATTTGCATCAACCTTCTAAACGATTTCAGGGTAGTGGAATATATACACCAAAGGGGTCCCTAGCGTTTTATTATAATCGGAGTTTCCCTGACGGTCGTCTCCTTGTAAAAGATGTTCCTATTTTGATGAACAACAGCAAAAGGTTTGAGAAAAAGAAAGTCACACTTGACACTTCTGATATGCAATTTATTCAAAGACATGATTTTCAAGGTCGAGTTTTCAAAGATAGATATAATTTCGTAAGTCTCAGATCAAAAGTAGGTAACGTTACCGTTTGTCAGGCCGATCTTTGCTGTTATTTGTCGTACAATCGAGTTGAGGTTACAGGTAATTATGCATTTGGGGTGTTCAGTGGAGTTCATGAGCGCCATGGTCCATACTACCTGCAGGTATGCATTCTTTTAGAATGTGGGTCTGATAACGCCACTGACTGCTATCATTTTACCTTTTTAGCGAACGGATATTTCAATAACATCACTATCAAAGGTAATTTCTCAACCCCGTATGTTACACCACAAGTGCTTACCACCGATAACGGAAATCTTGAATTGCTGCCTCCAAATGCTCTGAAATTTAATGAACGAGGTTTTAACGTTTAAGTCAAACCTAAGACCACTTTTGGAAGCATCGCTTGTCGGTCGTATCTATGAAAGGGACCATGTCTCGAATGAGAGAAGAAATAAGATCACAAATGGGTTCAAAAATACAGTTTCAAATTTTGCTTATTCAAACGTTGCCTCAATGCAGAATTTATACCCACTTCTTTTGCTTTTAGTACATCATCATTTCTAAAAAACCTGTCGAGAAATCAAAAACAAAACGCTTAGAAAATGTAATATTTCAATAACAAGGATGTACTTAGTATATAAAGGCATATGTTAAAATCTTATTTCACACCTGATATTCTCATAGTTTCAATTTATAAGCTTTTGCAGTGAATAATTTTTGTCTCAAATCAGAGAACAAATTTTGCTAATTCAAACGTTGCCTCAATACAAGCTTTATACCAACTTCTTTTGCTCTTAGTACATCATCATTTCTAAAATATCTGTTGTGAAATCAGTAACAAGACATTAAGAAATGTAACATTTCAATCAAAAAGATGTACTACATATAAGAATACATATGTTAAAATCCAGTTTCACATCTGATATTCTCGTACTTTCAATTTATTAATTTATAAGCTTTTTACACGAGTAATTATTTTGCTATCTATGGTGTGGTCTCGTTGAATATTGTAAAAGAAATGTCGTTGTCAGGTCGAATTTTTCCCCTCTCTTTAAAACCTAAGAGCACATTATGCCTCAAAAATCAATAATATGTTTGGTCTTTAAAAATTGTCTTTATAATTCTTTAATAATGGATTTTTACATATTTTATGAACAGCTGAAGAAAGTAGTGTTTTGAATGTGAATTAATGTGTCGTTTAGGAATCAAAATGTAAACAAAGAAGTATTTTGACTATCATACACTATAATTTTAACATTTACCAAAGAGCGGAAGAAGCTTCTAAATGGCTAATTAGATTTTTTTTGTTTTTTTTTCTTTCTTTCTTTTTGTTTGTTCTTGTTTTTTTTTTGTATTTTTTAAACTGAAACAAGGAATACGAAAATGACATGTTTTTTAACAATAAAGATGAAATAGCATTTTTGGAGCTAAAACGTCTTCAAAGATACATTTTGCTCAAATTGGATATTTGACAATGCTAATTATTGCTATATAATTTGTTTTTAAATAAAAAAATCTTTCAACTTTTGAGTACACACAGAGAAGATTTACTCACTATAGGTAAACGCTGTATGATTACAAAGTATACTTACGAGTAAAATCCTAACAATCTTATTAAGAAAGGGCAAAATTAACTTGACAAGTAACAGGGAATCATCTTTCCATACATAGCTTGTGTATTTTCTTATTCAAATAAAACATGCTCTGTGCAAATTTCCTAGATTAAAAAAATCTGCAATTAAAGCACGTTACACATAGATGAGCATAGTATCTAATAATGTTGCATCTTTTACTTATTATGCCTATATATCAAATTATTTCTCTTCACACAAAAGATTGTCTAATTTTATTTTTCAATTGGATAAAACAGTTTATGATTCATCAATAGAGTGCATAGTTAACTTAATCTAGGTAGTTTCAGATTGGATGTTATAGGTTGCTTCATTATATTTGTATGCCAGTATTATAGCCTGTTTTATACATATATCTTTGTATTTCTATTCAATCCTTATCATTCCCAACCATAAAGAACTATTTTTATTACTTCAAACCATAAAGAAGAATAGCTTAACTATAATGCGTGTATATATCCTTTTATTTATTCGGGTGCTTTTGTAATTTTCTTCTGCACTACAAATACAGATACATTGAATTGAAATTTGCTTTGATTTGTTATTTAAAAATGAATCATTTGTCAGTTTTTCACAACAGTAATCAAATAACATGTGGATTTGGACGGAAAAGAGAAACACATATTTATAAAAAATTATACCCTAAATTAAGGTAAAACAATGTCGAAAGTTAGTTTAACTAAACAAGTATTTGTAGGAAAGATACGTTGCTGCCCATAATTAAATAGAATGCGTACGTAAAGAAAAGATGTTACGTTCAAAATCTATACGGTATAGGTAACACTATATAAATCCAAAGTGTAATTAGAATACTAACAGTTTTATGTAGAAAGGGCATAATTAACTTGACCAGTAACAAGGAATTATCTTCCCATACATGATTCTCTTATTCAAATAAAACATGTTCGGTGCAAACTTCCAAGATTTAAAAAAAAACACAAATAAGTATTTCAAGCTTTTTATCCCAAAAAATGAGCATATTATCTTATAATAATTTTTAATGTAGTAAGAAACATCATTTACTTATTAGACCCACTGATCCAAATTATTTCTCTTCACATGTCATTCTGGAAAAGAAGATTGTCTATTTGTTTCAGTCAGATAAAAAGGGCTTCTATTTCATTTTAGCTGATTGAATCAAATGTGGATTTGGATGAAAAATAGAAACATATATTGTACAAAAATATCCTAAATTTAGGTAAAAGCAATGTCGGAATTTTTTTTAAAGTAAACAAGTATTTGTAGAAAAGATACGTTGCTACCCACGTTTATTATTAATATGTATATGATGATCTTCCATTCCCATGCTTTCTTTGAAAATATGTTTTGATTTTCTTATCATTGTATATGGTATTTTTTGAAATTGTGCATATCCGAGAAATCTATATATCTAAACTAAACAGAGTAAATGACAATATTTACGGACCAAAACAATGCCACCATTAATAACTGCAACAGTGGACCAGTCAAAAATATCATTAAACATAATCTTTATGGAGTGGACTATAAAATTTAACTAAAGTCATTACTACAAGAAAAAATTGATGTAAAATTGTTTCATATCTCAAATGTCATGACATGTTTTGTTATTTGTGTGTGTGTGTTTTTTTCTTCTTTTCTTTAATGGTTATTTTTGTTTGTTTGTTGTTGCTTTTGTTTTGTTTGTTTTTCTGTAACAGTTCCAGTCTAGGGTTAAGCTACTATTGTGTGAATAATTTTTTATAACACAGTTTTCTGCATATTTTAAAATATACCATTTCTCTACACATAACCCCTTTGCTGATTAAGAATATCATATTCTGTTATATATATGTCTGACAGTTCTAGGCTGCAGTCCATAGGTGGAAGGACCATAAAGGTTTCTATGATAATGTTAGACATGGATTATTCATATATCATTATGTTATCGCTAGGTATATCATATTGACTTAGCATTTTTACATGATATAATTGTATAGGCTATGTTGCTGTTATAAACGTTATCATTAACACGGATATAGTTATTTATGATTTTTCAAGTAAACTCTGTTTTAAACAGTCTTTCTGTATCAATCTTGAACAAGCCAAGTCTCTTTGAGCGGCGGCAAGTTGGTCATATTTATATTTGGAAAACAATATGTACATTCAATGTTTGTTTGTAACTTTGCAACATTTGTCATTTAATGCCCTATTTCGTTCAACCAATGTGTTGCGTTTTCCTTAATCCTAGTTAGTTATATTTTACTAGACCTTGACAACACATAAATAAGATTTTATGCTCAGATAAAATATTTTATGTCATTGACCCCTTTTCTCTTTACTGTACAGAATTTTACCAGTTAAGTAACTAGTTTTAGCTTAGACAGGACATTTATTAAATACCAAAAATGACAAATATACATAACAGTTGTGATGAAATTGTGTAAATAATGTTTTATTGTACATCTGCTTTTTCAATAATAAATTATAATGGCTATATATTTTACAGTGTTTTGTTTTATATTTGTTAACTTTCAAGGATATAATGAAAGGTTTACAAAAACCATTCAAGAACTATTGCTAGACATTTTTACCATGGATTGATATATTGATGTATACTTTTTATTCCTACAATTTTGAAGTAATCAAAGGGCACAATTGGTATTCATTCATATTAGGGGGTTTCTTTGGATTTATTACTAGTCTTGTAGAAAACCCATAATTGGATATATTTGTTGTTTAATACATATATTTTAAATTACTATAAATATGAGTGAGTGTTTTCATATGTTACAAAAGAGTTCATCAAAAATACTAATTTTTTAATCTAACAACAATGCATAACAAAATCTGTTTGTGAATCATGTATGTTTTCCTAATGGTTATAGGAAAACATACATGATTCACAAACAGATTTTGGGTTTTCTACAACCAATAAATCCAACGAAAACCCCTAATATGAATGAATACCAATTGTGCCCTTTGATTACTTCAAAATTGGTAAGCTGTGTATTGTGACCTTAAACTTACCCAAATAAAAATGACTGAATATGTCTTTTACTTTGAGGGAGCTTATTCCACATTGTATAACCTTAATGAGTTTTGACCAAATCCTTTGTCCTTCTGTATACAGTAACAACAATGGTCCAAAATAGACTCAGTCGGCTTATCAAGAGATAGATGACCTAAACTTAAATTGTGAACAGAAATTACTTGACTGAAACAGTGAAATGTCTCAAAAAAGTGTTCAGTAGATACTTCTCTACGGCCGTGGGTATTGGGGAAATATATATCAACGCTGTGGTTACTGGTAAGAGTAAAGGGACGTAATGCTTCTTTAAAATTTGATGCGGATATCTCCTGGACATGTTGCTTGGGTAAGAACTTTAAAACTTACAATATGTTAAGAAAACCCTCCAAAGTTGTACAAAATCGAATTTGAAACGGAATTGGTCAAACAGTTATTGAACAGTTAGCTCGTGAAAATGATGTTTTTTCCCGAAATTTATATAGAGAAAGAACAAATCGCCGTTCAAAAAATGACCAAGCCATGCGGAAATCTCCTGGACATATTTCTTGCAAATTTGCAATGGAATTAATCAAATAGTTTTGAACGGTAAGCTCGTGAAAATGGTGTTTTTGCCGAGAAAGAACAAATCGCCGTTCCAAACAGGAATTCAAGTTATGCACGTTTTGCCATTGTTAAAAGAGCGCTGCGTACTTAAAAAAATCTTATTATCTAGAAGAGTGTTTTAGTTTGCAGGACCCTCTTCACAGCCATAGAAGAGTCACAGACCTAACGGAGGGATGCCCGCGTTAAAAGGAAACATGTTTGACCTTTGATCAGTTCTTTCACAATATAAAGTCTCAGAAATTTACCTAAAAAAAAGCAAAATTCTAGAGCAAACAGTTAATAGATCACTTGTCCGATTCTTTTGAAAATTCGATTACGTACAATTCTGGAGGGTCTTCCTTATGCATTATAAAGCCTGAAGATCTTACCAAATCAATATGTCCGTGAAATTTCCGCGTGGCATGGTCGATTTCTGGACCGTCGATTTGTACTTTGTGTATATACATGATCGTAAAAAGCACCATTTTCTCGATCCAACCGTTTAAACACC